CACACGGACGGACAGGACAAAAACTATATACCCCCAAAACTTCGTTTACGGGGGCATAAAAAATTGCTAAACAATTAACATGAAAAACGTCATTCGGCATTCGACTAAATGAGAGATAGTAATTACTGACAAGTTTAAGGTCATTCTTGCGACCAAAGGACTAGCTAAATGATGATTCTGAACGAGACTTGATATGTTTGTTTCACCAACTTGTTTGTCAACAGCTTGGTTCGTTTAAGAAATTGTTTGTACGTAAAGCATGCATTTGAACTGGGAGACGCAATCTTAATTCGAAGGTGAAAAGGGTACATTGCCTCAAAATGGAAGTCATCTCGTTTATCATAAATATTTGGGGTTAATGTATCTAAATGCCAAGTTAAAGGCCACGGCTTGTATTTTTCTTATTCTAACAGACGGATGGACATACCGATCACTTAACACTCTCCCACATTTCAAGCGGGGGGTATACTGACACAATGTCGTCAATTAGAACCAAGCTTTGTATTCTTTCAGAATTTATTCATGTCTATGCTAAGAGAGTAGCTCCATTGTCCTATACGTGGCGGGACGGGTCTTTGATGACTGGTCCGTGGTGCCCACAACAACCATTTGAGGATCGTGAGTGTATGGGACTGATCGTCGACGACTGGTGTCCGAGCATGGCCCTGGACGACAGTTCATGTACAGACGACAAGAGGTTGTTTTTCTGTGAATGATGTCTGAAGGATACTCACCCCAGCCGATCAAAAATGTAAACACAAGGATCTCTGAACAATACCTCCGATGGAAATCTTTGTCTCTTTGTGAAGTTTAAGACGCGAAGCCTAAAAAAAAAGATTTTACTTATTACTAAAACATGCCTGTATTTGATTTATTCTTGTGATTTAAAGAAAATCAGATATTTAGATACAGAGTTCTTAGGATTGCATTTCAGCTACATTTTATATTTCTTTTGGAAATCAGATACTTATACACAGAGTTCTTAGAATTGCATTTCAGCTACATTTTATATTTCTTTTGGAAATCAGATACTTATATACAGAGTTCTTAGAATTGCATTTCAGCTACATTTTATATTTCTTTTGGAAATCAGATACTTATATACAGAGTTCTTAGAATTGATTCAGCTTCATTTTATATTTCTTTTGGAAACTCTCTTATCAGTCAATAAATGGCTTACATACACGGCAACAAACGCTTGAAGTAGAGTTGAGCATTTTACAAACAATCACTTTATCACGCCTGCTAATCGATCAGTATGGCAAGCCCTTTTACTATTTATTCGTGAAATAAAAATTTTCTCTCAAAAAGAGAGATATCTCTCTAACATAAAGAAATATCTCGCTATAGAGATAGTAAAAGAGTTATCATTTTACAGAGAGAATCTCTTTATCAAAGGAGATATCTCTGCTATATCTCTTTTTGTAAGAGAGATATCTCTTTTACTTAGGGAGATATCTCTTTAAGGGAAAGCAAGGGAAAGAGATATCTCTTAAAGTTAGACAGATATCTCTTTAACAAGGAACAAAGAGATATCTTTCTTAGTTAGAGATATATCTCTTTAGATTTTCAAAAAGAGATATCTTTATAATAAAGAGATATCTCTTTTAATTAAAGAGATATCTCTTTTCCAGTGATGCTTAAAATGGAATTATTAATTCTCCACTTTAAAACGAAAGCGAAACAGGAAGTAAAGTCTCTGGAATAGTTTCGATGTTATAAGAAAGAAGACTGAGCAATTAGCATTACCCAGAATAATACATGTACTGTAGACAAAAAATGCTATAAATCCTTTACCTGAAACAACAAATAATAATGCTAACTTTGTTGATGAAAATGCTAAAAGTTTAATATTCAGGAAAACGAAAGTAAGAATATATATAATCTCAAATGCAATGGACCGAATTTTCTCCGCTTATGAAATAATCAACTATTTCTAATTTGAGTATTTCCGTCAATATAAAGCTTACTTCCGGTACATGGAGAAGTCAGTTGAAATGGAATTTAAATTAAAAAAATATGAAGAGAGATATCTTTTTGCAACAAAGAGATATCTCTTTTTGCTTGAGAGATATTTCTTTTAGACAGTTTTGAAAGATATCTTTCACTTTAAGAGATATCAAATGATAAGAGAGATAATAAAGAGATATCTCTTTTTAGATATCCAAAAGTTAAAGAGAATTGTGAAAGAGATATCTCTTCTGTAGAGATATCTCTTTTCGAAAGAGATATCTCTAAGGGAGAAAGGGATATCTTTTCAGTGGAAGAGATATCTCTCTAAGTGTAAGAGATATCTCTTTCTCATAGAGATATCTCTTAAAAATGAGAGATATCATTTTTTTTTTCTATTTTTACGAGATATCTCTTAAAATGAGAGATAAATTTTAAGATAAATTTTATTTTTCGAATAAATAGTAAAAGTTATAGATCAGTTGCATAGCCAGAGTTATGCATAGCAATTAAAACATGACAGTACACAGGTTGTTATTTTCTTAATTAAAATATTTTTCCATGAGCAATTTAAATTTTACATTCTCATAAATTGCAATGATTGTCAATTAGTGACGATATTTGTTTTGAAGCAAAACAAGTATTTGCCAACAAGAATTCGTTTTAATCTCAGCTAACCTTGAATATACAATTTCTACCATTTGTTTGCAACAATTACATTCTATCCACCCAAATCTAGACTTTGTTTTGTCCATTATTTAGAAATATTCGAAGTAAATAAGGTTGCCTATACATGCCATAATTCAGTTATAAAAGAGATTTCGAGTTTTGCATGAGATAAAGGATAAATAGTTTCGAAAGTTTTATACCATCTCCAAAATTAAAAAAAAGATATCTTCACTAATCGACAATCATTGCATGAAGGATATGGAGATAACGAATAGTATTCAATATCAAAGACCGTATTAAAACAATACAAAATAAAAACAGAGCAAACAGAGGTGTGAAACATCAGAGGTGACATGCCATGGAGGAGTAAGCATCCCCCTGCCGACCGGTCACACCCGGCGTGTGCTCCTTGTCATGATCGGGAAATAACGGAAAAATCCGTCGTCAATTCAGCGTATAAATAATGAACTAACAATTAGTATGAAACACGTCAGTCAGAGTTTGACTCAATGATAAATTGTATTTGCTGACAAGGTCATTGTATTGACCATAGAACTTACGAAAAGATGAAAATGATAAATGACAAAATGGTAAATCTATAATTTTATGGTGATTCCAAATTGACTTTACAGATGACATTTGCATTATTTTTCTTTCATTAGTATGAGTTGACATATTATAATACATTAAGGAGAGAAACTAGTTAGTTGTACAAAACTTGTTTTCCAATCCCTTTGATGTACTCAATAAAATACGATTGAAATGAATGTCTTAAAAACCTAATTTGGGTTTTCTTTTATCATACATTGAATATTATTTGGTACATTAATATTATTATACTTGCGTGATATTACTGTGATTATTTGAACTTTAACTGAATAACAAACGTTTTTCAAACTTTTTCAATTCGATACTAATAAAGCCTTAGTTAGAATTAAATATTTATGGAAATCTATACCTTTGTATACGTCGGATCTTTTTCTTTCTATTGTTCTAATAGTTTATTGGCAGTAATGTCTCTACGGTCATGCTAATGTAATTTTAATTTGTTTTGCAATAACTTAGTTTGTCTAGTCAATTTGCAGGTTTACACAAACTTTCTGAGAAATGTTCAATAACTAACACTCAACAAAATAATTAGATATAAAACGGAAAGATTTGTTAGAACAGCTTTGTAAAGGAAAGTTAAGAATTTGTTTTAAACAAATATGTCGATATTCTCAAACTCATTAATGATGTTTAAAACGAAAAGATTATCATTATTGTAAGCCTTGATAGTTATAGTATTCCGTGATGGCAAATTGGAAAGTAACTTCAATCCTGATCTATTTACTGAAAGGTAAGGTTTTTTTCCATGTGTATCAAATTTATATCTTTTAAATTTATATACTAGTATACTACTTGAATAACCGTCACATTTTTTTCAATAATATTAGAAATATTAACTGCCGCACAGAAAATTAATTGGCTCACTGTTAGAAATAGTAAGTTTATTTTTTCAATTTTTTTGTTCCAAAATATCAAAGTCTATCAAATATTGCAAAAAAATATTTTTATGTTGGTTTCATCACTATAAAACATTGCCAAACGTTCTGCTTTATCTCAGTGAATACATGAACAATAAAAAAATCATTATTTTTCAAAGTCTTGCAACATGATAACCTATATGTTAAAAATATTTTACTTTGGATATTGAACGATAATAGTATGCTATCCAATTAAACAAATGAACAATTAAACTGTGCTACTAAAATTGAGACTGTGCCGCCGGGCGCATAGTGTTTTTTTCATATTTATCTAGTAATATTCTACTATCAAATGCATGTGGTTTTGAAGACTTCCAACTTACTCAACATCACGCTCTGAAAATTATTGTGTTTTTTTTAAATCCGAACCTGGCTACTGACAAATGAGTTGATGTTAAATGGATTTCAGTAGATCTCATTTGAAACTGTATCTCATGAATTCTATGGTTGTTATATTGACCACGGTAACATATTCAACTTATCATATGGAATTTAAAAATATTTCCTTTAAATACTTAATTTGACTTGATGTTTTTCTTCGTCTACCTGGTCAATATGTAACATATATATATATATATATATATATATATATATATATATATATATATATATATATATATATCATATATATATATATATGTGACCCACAGTGGATGTGACCAGTCTTCGGGGGATACTTACTCCTCTCGCACACTTTATTTCGCTCTGGAATATCCAGAGGTCAGCGTTTTTTGCCAGTAGGTGATATACAAATGATATTATTGAAATATCAAAACGGTGCCTCATATATATCGTATGAACAAAAAACAAACAAAATTCATGATTCAGTTTCCAGCGGAGACAGTCTGTTTAAAATCATCCCTCGACTAGAAAACAAGAGATCCGATGGTATTCCGATGAAAAAGATGGTGGCGCCATTGATCTCACAGTGTGCCTACTTGTGTGCGACGAACGATTCCTGTCAAGGTTTCCATTACAACAAGATCTCACGGGAATGTAGCCTTTATAACAGTCAGAACCACAGAGATGTGGGGGAGGACATGGGAAGTAAACACTTTCAAATCATGCCGAAAGGTAAGAGAGAGAGAAAGAGAGAGAGAGAGGTTACATGCATATAGAATATGATATAATACTACTAATGGTAACAGATTAACCAATATCAGTAAGAATGCTTTGTGAAAAATATTGGGATCAAATTTCTTCAAATTCAATCTGTTTGAATTTAAAATTTTGTTTAAGATGCAAAATCTCTCTTATTGTCAAATAAAAATAAATGATACCCCCCGCCTCCCATATGGTTATAACTGGTGAAAAAGTCCATGTTTTCCTGTGGCCGGGAAACCCAAAATATGTGATCTGATCAAAAAGTAAACCGTGAGGCAGTAGGTGCTGGCAATATGTAATAAAGATTCTGTGAAAGTTTCATCAAATTTCATTCAGTGCGTGAGAGTATATGACAAATCCTTTGCAGCTCTCCATCTGCAAGAATGGTGGCGTGGCGCCTCCATGATATGAGTAAAGATTCTCGAGAGGGACATAAAACAACATTCAATCATCAATCTTATGTGTTCTTTATTTACTTACACTTTTTTACATTTTGTCTGATCAGTTGTATAATCACAAATCTTAAAGAATTGCCATAGTAGATTCCATTTTGATATAATGATGAAATTGTAACGTTCTTACAAAGTACAAATAATTATCAATTGGGTCCGCTTAGGTTTCCTTCCTAAGAATCACATTTATAATATAAAATCGAAACAAACTTTAATAGGCCTTAGCAATGACTCTTAAAGAAGAAACTGACTGAAATTCATTATATTTACTTTTACTTTGGTCCTATCTGGATAAAGATTAGTAAACTAAGTAACAACGAACTGTAACGAAGGAATCACTTACAATAAAAAAAAATTAAATATAAAACCTATCTCTGTAGCTGCAGACTGAGTGGTATAACGTAAGAACACACCCTAACAAGTCATAGAGACACTTTTATTGTTTAAACTAAAGTCACTAAGACACAAACTAAAGTCACTAAGACACTAGTCACTGAGACACAAAGGAACAAGATTCCTGAGCTGTCAGAGTGGTCTAACGAACTATTCTGTTGTTTCCCAACACAGACAAGTACCTAGCCCAAGAGTAAAGTTACTCAAGTGATAAAACAACATTCAACCGAATACTAAATTGGTGTTCTTTATTACTTCCGATTGGTTAATAATTAGGGAACTCTGATTGGATGTAATATATACGTTGATTGGTTAAATATAAAATGATTCGATGGGACGATTTCAGAGACATTTCAATCCACCATCATTATTCGATTTCGTTACAATAATGAGTATTCGTCACAAGATGTAGAACATGGTAGATGACAACCATTCATTTATGCTAAATATTTAAATTTGCAGATTATTTCCCTACATATGACTTTGTAACATTTTAATATAAAATTGAAACAAACTTTGTTGGCCTTAGCAATGACTCATATAGAACGTCAATGTAAAGGTGAAACTTCAAATATTTACTTTACTCGGCAATTGGCCAATATCTAAATAAAGATTAGTAAATTGCGGCGTTGTTAAATTTTTAAAATCGCCTGTAACGAAGGAAAATTCACAAATTTCTGTAAAAAAAAAATTAAATATAAAACCTATAGCTATCTCTGTAGCTGCGTTCCCATGGAGTGGTATAACTGCGCTTCCGCGGAGTTTTCACACGTTACAAGTCACCTCGTGTTCACGGCGTTCTACTGCGCTGGTGCGTTAATACGTTAAAGTCACTATTGATATATACAAATGTGAAACATTTTTGTTCAAAGACAAGTTCACGAGACACAAAAAACTTAATAATTAAAAAATGTTTTATTTAAATAATTTAGAGCTGAAATTATTAATACGAACTATTCTCCTTTTTTCCCAACACAGTTCAAATGTGTTGTTAGATTTTCCAAGATTTTATTGTTATGAAAAAAAATAATAAACACACTGAAAAGTTTTCTACAAAATTTAATGGAAACAACAGAACAAGTTGGTGTCTTTTTTATCTAACATTTTTTTACCTATTACTTCCGATTTGCAAAAATACGTTTGAATTATTGCTGATCAAATATATCTCATTGCTCTTGTTTTGTGAGCATATAACAATGATGAAAGCGCATTGTGATCGCCAGCGGACATTTAGAAACCACCTGGGATCATTATTCGATTTCGTCTTATCGCACGAAAAAATCACAAGACGATAAATTGTCACAAGATATAAAACATGGTAGATGACAACCATTCATTTATGCTAAATATTTAAATTTGCAGATCATGTGCGTCTTCACGGCGTTCTACATATGACTTTGTAACATTTTCATCAGAAATTGTTTGATCACACGGCGCGTATTTGTTGTACAAAGTGATCGCCTCGTTAGGAGACGCGACCCTACGGCGTTCATAGATCACGTCACGATGTAAAGGTGAAGGACTTCAAATTTTGACCTTTACTCGGCAATTAGGGCCAATAAGCGGTAAGGGATCTTTATTGTACCAACGCCTAGCGTAGCATGGGGTCTCGGTTTGTAAGGTATCATCCGAAGGACCCGCAACTTTCACTTCAGAGTGCCGAGGCTTGGCGGAAGAACAGCTGTTACCTAGTCGCAGCCGAGATTCGAAGACATGACCTCCCGATCACGTTCAGCGCGCTCTCTAACGATTATAAGCCACCTTGCGTGACGAATGTTGAAAAGATAGCTAAAATGAGTAATACTACAATTTATATTAGCAGAGAGTTTTCCTTCAAATGACAAAATTGTGACAACTTCATTGACTTTCCATTAGATAGTAAGGCCAAATAATTGTCCATCAAGAATGTGACTTCCATAGATTTGATAATTGGGTTCTTTCTACAGAGTGTGTTCCTGGGATTGACGAGTGGTTCCCAGACTTAAATAAATGTATCCACATCGATACTACCTTAGTATATCACAGCGAAGCTCAAAGCAGGTGCCATTCACTGTCCAAAGATTTGATGAGTCTTGAGACCATAGCAAAATACAACACTGTCAAGGCACTTTTGAATACCTTCGATATTGGTGGGTACTTTTAATATTTACTTTGGAGCATAAGTAAGATTTATTATGCAGAAAGCCTGGAAGTTGAGTCCAAAATAATTCTTGGGAAAAATTGTTCCAATGATTAATCAAAAATTGATCTTCACAGCTTGACAACTGTATATGGGAGTGCTTATGTATAAGCAGGATCTGAATTTTTTAGAGTACGTGCCGTAGAACTGAGCAATATGGACACTTTCCAAGATTTGATCTTGTCCCAACTCGGACAAAAACATTTCTGTGGCATAAAAGTACATGTTGCTAACCATCATGTAGCGATGTTTGAAGTAAAAAAAAAAATGGCATGTCTCCTTTATTTAAAAACACACAAAAATTCCAATTTGTTTTACCATATGTGTATAAGTAACAACTAAAAAATGGTATCTAAACTAGAGGTACTGTGAGCAATGAGCTCACTAAATGACACCCCCCGCCTCCCATATGAATATAATGGCAGTGTCCATGTTTTGCTCTGGAAAATCAAAAATATATGTCAGATCAAAAAGTAAAATAGGAGGTCACAATGGCAATATGTAATTAAGAACCTGTGAAAGTTTCATTAAATTTCCTTCAGTGGTATGAGAGGAGTTGCGGATAAGAGATGGGTACCCCAAAGCGTAACAGACGGACGGACGGACGGACAGACGGACGGAAATACCGATTACTATATACCCTCCCACTTTTCAAGCGGGGGGTATAATTAAGGCTATATAGTGCCATGTTTTGTTTACATGTAGAAAATATCGTATTTATAACAAAATGAGATTCAGCAAATCACTAGAAACTGTCTAATTGTATTTAGAATTTACTTCTTCATTGAAAAAAAATACGCTTTAAACGAACATTTATTTTAAAGGATATTTAACCTATGTAAACAAAACTAGAGGTACTGTGAGCGATGAGCTCACTAAATGATACCCCCGCCTCCCATATGGTTTTAACTGGTGAAAAAGTCCATGTTTTCCTGTGGCCGGGAAACCCAAAATATGTGTCGGATCAAAAAGTAAAATAGGAGGTGCACAATGGCAATATGTAATAAAGATTCTGTGAAAGTTTCATCAAATTTCATTCAGTGGTATGAGAGGAGTTGCGGTATATGATACAGACGGACGGAAATACCGATTACTATATACCCTCCCGCTTTTCAAGCGGGGGGTATAATGAAAAAATCTAAGCACATTTTACTAGTATATGACATCACAACGCGCTTCAATTACTTTGTATATCAGCAGAAAACAAAGAGCAAAGCCATTTTTGTGGTACAAGTATATGGTGTCGTATAAATTATACATTTTCTCTTGAATTCTTCGTGGTTTAAAGTTCATCGATTATGCATTCTGATATAGGAAATAATTCTCATTGGGAATATTCACTATTTATACTCTTAAAAATAATACCTTCTTACAACTTGATTCTTGTCTTTTGCTCTTCAATAATCAATACACAGTATGCTCAATTTCTTTGCATTTTCAAAGTTTTAGAAAACCGTCATCTCAGCTAGCCAATGGTTTCTGATACGCTGCTCTCATGAAGATCACGTGACGTAAACAATACCGTCTTTTGACTGAACCATAGACCAAGGGGTTACTCTGAAGATCACGTGACGTAAACAATACCGTCTTTTGACTGAAGGATAGACCAAGGGTTTCTGAAGATCTCGTGACGTAAACAATACCGTCTTTTGACTGAACCATAGACCAAGGGTTTCTGATACGCTGCTCTCCTGAAGATCACGTGACGTAAACAATACCGTCTTTTGACTGAACCATAGACCAAGGGTTTCTGATACGTTACTCTCCTGAAGATCACGTGACGTAAACAATACCGTCTTTTGACTGAAGGATAGACCAAGGGTTTCTGATACGCTGCTCTCCTGAAGATCACGTGACGTAAACAATACCGTCTTTTGACTGAAGGATAGACCAAGGGTTTCTGATACGCTGCTTTCCTCATTGTGATATGAGAGGAGTATTAGAAACCCTTGGCTAGCGAAGATGGAAAATCATGTGTTTTATGTAAAGCAAAATATAAGTACTGGTATAAGTATGGGTGAACAAAGGGATACTGCCACAGAAATAATTTCTTTATGTTTTCGGTGATTTACTTGTTTCTTTTGCAGAGGCCATTCATCTGTACACTAAGAAGGTGGGGACCTCGAGCTATCAATGGCGCGATGGATCCTCCATTCCCGCCCATCTGTGGTGTCCAAACCAACCATCTGATGAAACCGAGTGTCTGGCGTTAGCCAAAATAACCAACTGCCCGGATAAGGGGATAGACGATTACATATGTACACAGGGTTTAGCACAGTTCTTCTGTGAATAACGTTGTTTGTCCAATGCTTTCAACAAGATATTGACGGAAAGAAGAAGGGAATGTGTTTAACATGATTGATTAGTGAATATATCGGCACTTATCTTTGAAATTTGAATATTTCGCCTTATCAAATTGTACTGATTGTACTGTATCTGATTTTTGTGCGTCCGGATCGATGGATCGGGGGCCCGCGCATTTTGTTTTTGTCCTGTCTGTTTGTCTGTCAACTTTAACCTTCGCCATAACTTTTGAAACATGCAAGATAAAGACTTCATATTTGGTATGCTTACACCACTAATTAAGCTCTTTCATATGACACCAAGGTCAATGACCTTGTGACCTTGACTGTGACCTATAGGCTAAAAATAGCTTTTTCGAACCTTCATCACAACTTTTGAACCATGAGAGATAGAGACTTTATATTTAGAATGCATACTCTACTAATAAGGCTCTTTCAAACGACACCAAGGTCAATCACCTTGTGACCTTGACTAAATCCTAAAAATTGGTTTTTCGTACATTCGCCATAACTTTTGAAACATAGGAGATAGAGAATGCATGTTTGGTATGCAAACTTCAGTGATTAAGTTCTTTCAAATGGCACCAAGGTCAATGACTGTGACCTTGACTGTAACCTATTTTATGCTAAAAATAGCCTTTTTGAACCTTCGCCATTATTTTTGAAGCAAAAGAGATAGAGACTGAATATTTAGTATGCATACTCTAAATTAAGGTCTTTCAAATAACACCAAGGTCAATGACCTTGTGACCTTGACCATGAGCTTTATGCTAAAAATAGCTTTTATAGCTTTTTCGAACTTTGTTGCCGCCAGGCGCATAGTGTTTCACAAACACATCATGTTCCTTATTGTATCACGCATGCTTGTAAAGAAGATTACATTTTCTCTATGTTTGACTTGATTCGAATCTGGGCTTTTCCATGTAAGATATATACCATAATTATATACACGTGTCTTTATATTTTACATCTTACACGTGCAAGGGATGCCAAATCATCTAAACACATTTCCTTTAATTTTATCACGCGTTTAGTAGTACATAATGTTTTGGGTTATCTATTTCTGTATACATGCATTTTATTGCAGTTATATGAATCTGTGTTTGTTTGTATACTACACGACTATTGCAAGTTTCTTTGGTATCTTAGCTTTGGTCCGTCTACATCGGTGCACGTGTCGATGGATTACACTGAATAGTGACTAAATCAGACCCTTTATATAGGGTTCCTCTGATATACCGAGAGTCCGATCAAAAATGGGGGACACATTCTCTTTACGAATTGTGTTCAGCTTTAATTTCCGGTGAACTTCTAGAAATGCAGTTGACAATTATATATGAAGCTCCCGTCCACCAAACCATTATTTCCTTTACTTTAACAGTATAAACTCAACAAGGGCATACATGGCTCATTTGTTGAGATTTAACACACTCAAACACTAAGTCCATTTGGTTACTGAATTGTTTTTCTGAACAGACACATTATAATTTTGACAGTCTGACACTCACAGGGCGCAATTGTTTGAGAGTTTGCTCAGAAGTCGCCGAGTAAGTACTGTAGATCACTAAATTTTCGCGACACCTTATTTTCACGAAATAGTCATTGCTTCTTGATTAGCAAGACAAAATTTTCACGAATTGTGGTTATTGTTCTATATAATCTTAAGGAATACACGAGAATTTAATTTTCGCGAGCACACTGTATCGCGTAATTACGCGAAAATAAAGTTCTCGCGAATAAAAAGTGATTTACCGTAGTTGCATTGCAGGTTCGGATCACACTGAGGGACGTGGGGAACGGTCCTTCGGACCGTATAAATCGTCAGGTCCCAATTCATAGTAGGTGTTGGCATGAAAAATGTTCCCTAATTGCTTTAAGACCGCAAGGGCCTTTGTGACGTGACTGACGCCATAATCAAAAGTGCACCAGCGACCAACTTTAAAGGTTGGAACTTCATAACTCTACCAGCAAGTGGTGGCGGGTCTCAATATGAATGAAAAATTCTTGAGGGAACAAAAATTTGTTTTAGAAATACAGGTACAGAATTTCAATATGTCAATGCCTGAGAAATTTACACACATTTTCCATTTAGGTAGATGTTAGTTAAACTGTGAAATTACAGGAGACTCATCTCCAGTTCAAAGGACCAAAAGAAGTGAATAACTTCGCAATTATTCAGGTAAGTCTCATCTCTCAAGCCACGGTCCGAAGTCCACATACTGGGAGGGAGAGGATCGTACATTTTGGCCGTGGTTTGCGATGATGGGTAGGTGTAAGCAGCATTAATTTTACGCTTGACTGGTGTGTACACATGCGCAATCAAATCTTGGGAGTTGGAGAGATAATGAGATGTGTATAATGGGACTCAGGTCTTGGATCGAGAGATATAGAACTTCAAGAGAGAAGGAGTAGATTTGCTTAGTTATAGCAAAAAAACAAACCAGAGGTTCACTTTGGGAAATTGAGAACATCAATAGCTGATCAAGAGACTGTAGTTCGAGCCATCCAGATTAACATGTACCATATTCTCTAGGCAAGCACTTGTCAATCCATGCCTCATTAAGACTACACACATAGAAGAGACTGCCAAAATGTTTATCCTTAGTTTCTGATCTGATACAAACAAAAATCAATAATACAACTGTGTGAAATAATTTATTTTTAGATATGTTATTAAGATACCTATAGGAAGCAGGAGTGGTTGTTAAGGAGACAAATCACATGACTGGCATGTGACTTTCATCTCTATTGCAGCATATAAAAAAAAACATTAAATGTGTACATAAATACTTTTTTTAAAAAATGTGCAAAATAACATAGAATAACTTCACTTTTATAAAAAATGAAAAATCATCTTCAACATGGCAAATTAATAAAGTTAAGAAGAAAAAAAAATTCATGAGCAATGTATAAACCTGTTTACAAGTTGTTTGAAAATACCATAAAAAAAATGAGGAGAAAAAAAAACCAAAAAAAATTATTTCTAACAAAAATAATATTTGCAATCTTTGATTCAAGCATCTAAGCACTATTACCATTATTTGTTCATATGAAATAAGGATATACAGTATAATCACAACATTGATTATGATATACAGAGGACAACAGAATCAAATGCACCACCAGTGATGTAAATGCCCAGCAAAGAATAAAATGAAATAACAGCAAATGCTACACTAAATACCAAAACAAAGTCACAGAGGATATTTCTGCTTGAAAGCCCTCCAGGCAGTACGTCATGTAAATATAGCCTTCTACAAAGCATTTGTGAAGAAAAATATATTTCTGATATAAAATAAAAGCATTTGGGAAAAAAATCTTATTTTACATTTTTTTAAAGGAAAAACATTATTGAAATACAGGGTATATATTTTTTAATTTTGACAAATCTTAACATTTTAACACCAAAACAAGGTGATGCAGCACAATGGGATGCTCCTGACAGTTGCAATGTCTACAGTCTATGGGACACTGTTACGGGCAGTCATGTGACTAGGTGGGCGGAGTTAATGTCAATATTTAGGCAAGAACGTTGTCCAGCTCCGACTGTTGTCCCTCCTTAACAACTGTCACCTGCATGTATGGCTTCTTGTCGTTATCCTTGATGTATTTCTAAACAAAGCGACAGTCATTATAAGATTTCATGTCATATCAACTGAATTCAATGAAAGTAAAGGGAATAATATTAATTTACCCAAGGTTTTATTTAATACAACCTGAGGGTGTATGGAATATAACCCAGGGTAAATCCCTGTACACCCTTGATTAGACCTGGATAACACATTTACTGTAGAAGCACAAATTTTCATCGGGATAAACTTTCGTTGATTTGTCATCAGAAATAGTTTCGTGGGCATAAATTTCGTTGTTTTGAAAGTAACCCTATTTAATACAAATGTTGTTAATACCCCTTTTCATCGGGTTTATTGATTTGGACTTAATTAAATATAATATAGTCATATATCATATATAAAGTTTCGTGTGGGATTTGATTTCGTTGATAATTGTTAACAACGAAATAAACGAAATTTAATCCCACGAATATTTGTGCTTTTACAGTATTTCCTATTAAATCAAAAACTTTCTTGGTAAACCGAAGGCTAATCAGTGGTATTTCAAACTATTACATAAATAAAAAATACATCGTGACATCATGTGAATTGCTTTTTGATATTTTTAAAAGAAACTTTACTTTGTGATGTCATGTTATTTACCTACACCTCAACATTTACATCCAACTTGCTAACCAATCAAAACTCATGTTACAAGCTAGATAGGAAATAATATGATTATTTTCTTCCTGTACTAGATGGATAGCCAATCATCTAAGCTCTCAGGATATGTATTGTGGATGATCAATCATCTATATAAACTCTCATTGACTTACATGAGCATAGGGGAATCCATTCCTCTTTTCTGCTACAGAAGCATTAGCACCAACGTAAACAAACACCTGTAGACCATTGTCTACCAGGAATACGTCCTAAAGGAAGAAAACAGTCAGGTCAACAAAGCTGAAATAACTTACCACACCACTGTAGTTTAAAAAATCAGACAAAATTACAATAATTTGTAATGTCAGAGACATATGAAGGAATATTCTAAAAATATTGCAAGTTACATTATGTTGAGATTTTTAAACAACAAAACTCTCTTAGAAATTCATATGAAGTGAATGTTAATGTTATTCTCTTGAAAATTTGAGTTTGTATTTTATGATACTCACATCTGAAGTCAGATCGTCCCTGGTAACTGTTCCCTTCTTAACTTCAGTCATTTCTATCTGTCCACCAGCATCCGAGACTCTATACAACGAAATCAACTTTTAGTATTTATCTTGAAACAAAACATTCAGTGATATACATTACAATCTTAAATTTCGTTTACACTGTCTTTACATTTCATAAATATAATTTTTTCACACACTGTTACATCTTTATGATAATCCCTTAAATGTAATACATCATCAATCAAATTCTTGTCTCCTGAAATTCTTTCTTTTGAAATTTGTCCCTGAAAGGTAGCCCAATATATTTACCCCCTCACTTCATTAGTGTCTTGTCCCCTGAGACAAATTCTGACAGACATTTTATCCCTCAAGGTGCCTCTTACTTCATCAGAGTCATGTCCTTTGTGACAAAGTATCTGACAGACATTTTATCCCTTAAGGTGGTCCTTACTTCATGCAGAGTCATGTCTCCTGTTACAATTTCTTACAGACATTTTATCCCTTAGGGTGCCCCTTACTTCTTCAGAGTCTTGTCCTCTGTGACAAATTCTGATAGACATTTTATCCCTTAAGGTGGCCCCTTACTTCATCAGAATCTTTTCCCTTGTGACTTATTTTGACAAACATTTTACCCTTTAAGGTGCCCCTTACTTCATCAAAGTTTTGTCCCCTGTGACAAATTCTGACAGACATTTTATATCCCTTAAGGTGCCCCTTACTTCATCCTTAAGCTACAGAAGCATTAGCAAGGTGCCCTTTACTTCTTCACAGTCTTGTCCCTTGTAACAAATTCTGATAGACATTTATCCTTTAAGGAGCCCCTTATTTCATCAGAGTCTTGTCCCCTGTAACAAATTCTGACACTTTATGATATCCCTTAAGGTGGCCCTTACTTCATTAGAGTCTTGTCCCCTGTCTCGACTCCCTCGTCTTCCTCATCCATCTCCACATCTTCATCAGGAAGACCGTCGTAGAATGCAGGAGCACGAGATCCCTCCTCCACTACAGAGTTACTTGCCCCTGATCTCTCAGCCTCCAACTGCTGACAGAATTGTTGAGCCTAAAAGATTGAATTTGGAGATTATAAAAATAGCAGCAGAAATGTTGTGAAAGAGTATTTTAATCTCTACAGTTTCTCAGCATCTCATTTTTATAAAAGAATTAATAGTTTGGTGTGTGTGTTTTACTTTAATTGGTTGCCTTTCATTTTACTTGTTTTAATTTTTTAATTTGATGGAAACCACATGTGTTGTTTCTTTTGAATCAAAGATAATTGAGCAAAATGTAACAAAAATTAAGAAGGGCACTGCATGATTGAACAAATCGGACCTTGATTTTCTCCATGCCATTGGCCCCTGCTCCGTTCCACTGGATGATTTCCAGTCCCTTGTCCAACACAAACACATCATCAGACTTCAGACTCTTCTCTGTGAAGGGCACCTGTCAACATCGTATCATCCATGAGAAATGTCAATTAAAATTGATAATTATGTTTTACAGGTAAACTCTGAAAATCTGGCTTGAGAAAAAATTCAAAGCTTTATATATGGACTTTCTGTTAACCTTAATTCATTTGATTTTAAAACTAAGGTTCATAGTTCTTGAGTGAGAGAAAACTGACTTTAAATGGCTATTTTTGTACACTGTAATATTTCTAATACCATACATGCCAACTTTTGAAAATTCCCATGGGGGATTTTGCCCGTGACGACAATTTTCAAAGCTTTAAATTCGCGACATTTTGTCGTGAACCTGAATCTAATTGTGTTTTCACTGATATCTATATTATTATTTATAATACATAATACATGTTCCTCATTTGAACATTTTTCTTCTGATTTCTTTCATATCATTCAATGCACCTACCAACATAAGTCTGAATCTGATTCAGCAACCAAAACAATGTATAGTTTCAACAATTTAATAACAAATTTAAGAAAAATACAGTGGCACATGAAACATGAAAACAATATTGCATTGTTAAAATCTGGTTACTAAAATAGCTACTATTATAATTCAAATAAATAAAATGTTACAAACTAAAAAAACATCATGTAGTTATTACTATTAAAATTCAGGTAAGAATAGGTAAAACAGAAGTTTCAATCACAGTCAAGATACAAACAATAAAACACTTGTTAATCACCACTAAGAAACACAGTCTTTGTTATAAGACAAGCAGGCCTTTTTTGCTGACTGGAGCAATTCTTTGGAAGGTTTCACAAGATTACAATGCTGAATGTTGTTAACTTTGGTGGTAAGCAGAGCACGGATGGTTTTGTTATCCAAATTAGCACGGGTCTCTGTCTGTATTTTCTTTACCATTGAGAATACTCTCTCACATTCAGCATTGGAGTTAGGCACAGTAAGCATGGTTTTCACTACTTTCCACATAACTGGGAACCTTGGAGTCTTGGTAATGTTATTTCTCATTTCTAGGATCCTACCCCAGTAGAAATGCGACAAGAAACAGGAGGTTATGCTGTGCCACAAAATTGGCAAACAAAACCTCGGCACGTATCACATCTACAACATTGAACAAAGAATTTAGATTTATTTTAAAAATATAAAATTAATTCAAAGTTAATGCATGTAAATTGTTCATTATCACAGAGATAATATATCTGTCAACTTACCCTCATCTTGGTCGAGTTTTGAACTGGTGAAGAAGTTTCTGGTGTGTGTCGTTTCTGCGACTTCAAAGTATTTTGGTGCAGGGCAGTGTTCATATGCTTTGTCACGTCATTCAGTCCACCATGGTCAACCTTGAAGTCTCTGTTGCACACTCTAAAATATGCATGAGCCTGTCCTTGTTTTGACTTCGTCAACCATCCGGTGAATCTTGCGTCACCCTCCCATTTTTTCAGGTATTTCGATCCTAATCTACTCTTTTTTCGTGGTGGAGTTGCACCCATGGTGAATCGATATGCGAGATTCCCGATTGATCTCCACCATACCCCAGAATAGCATTAATTGTTATCAAAACATGTTACATGCTCATAATTGACTGAGTGATCGTCACAGTACACACAGGTAGGTATCCTCGATAGGTAAAATTACACGCGACCTAAGCGTGACGAATTCGGGAAATTTCATTGGTTAATAATACGAGAGTTTAACGAGATTTCACGATTGTCCCGATTTCAAACTCGGGTCAAGTCGGAAAATCGGAAATTTTGGTCGAAAAATGGTCAAATCGGGATTTAAGGGTAATTTTGCTTTCACGATCGGGATAGCGGGATGGCATGGTAAAATCGGGAGAATCCCGCCTAAATCGGGAAAGTTGGCATGTATGCTAATACTAACTTCCTTCACGGTGATGTGGCGTCCCTTTCCATTGAACTGCAATAAGCGGGGCTTGTACTCCACTGGTTCAACGTGTCGGAAGCCTGTCTCAGCTCCACCCTCCAATATCCTGATAAAAAAAAGGACAAAGTAGAGTTTCTTAGAATAATAAGCTAGAACTGTGGCCCTTTCCAGGGATTATAATTTAAACAAGTGGAGCATCCCCTCGCGACAGGAATTTCACTGGTAATGGCAATATCTCATGAGAGATAAATTCTCTAATATAATATTAATAATATGACAATACGCAAATACGAAGTTAATCTTTCTGAACGAGTCTATCGAAGCGACTCGAATTTACCAGGTTGTTTCAACAGAAGTGATATTTGTTAAGTCGTACTTAAAACTTCAGTTCATTGAAGCCACCCGAATTAGCAGAAGTGAGCATTGTCAAGTCGTACATAAAATTTCAGGGTAAGACGGTAGTAAAAACGCTATATTTTAAGAAATATTTCATCGATGAATTTGAAAATGAATAGGCTTCGTCCTTTTATAATGCCACATAAGTATGTAAAGGCTGAGAGAGGTTAATGCAAAGGTTCTCTGTAAATCTTGCCCACAAGCTGTAAAGGACACACTAACACACACACATACGCACCTTCGCGATGTTATATCCCCTCCGCAACTAGTTGCGTGAGGGGATAATAATTTTGGATCTACACTTCCTCAGAAAGCCTTCATATAAGTTTCATTTTATCTTTTCCAGGGGTTCTTGTGAAGATTTTTTAAATGTTTTTCCAAGTGAAATGTAATCCAATATTGTAGCCCCACCATAACCTATACTTCCTCTGAAAGCTTCCACTGTGTTTTTTCTGGCCAGTGGTTCTGAGAAAAATTTTTAATGATTCAACTCTATTTTTCCCTTTTCTTAATTATCTAACCTTGGAAGGTGGCTTGACAAATCCTATGAAAAATTTATAATCTCTTTTACATTGACAATTTTTTGTCAATTTTCGTCAGTCAGTGGTTTTGAGAAGAAATGGAAAATTTGAAAAGTTTACACATGGATGGATGGAAATTGGACAACCTCTCATACTTAATGAATATCACTGAAGTAAGACTTGAACCTCTCTGATTTTCTGAATGCACTGAAGTAAGACTTAAATCTCTCTGACTTATTGAGGACTTGAACCTCCAGACTTACTGAATAGCACTGAATCAAGACTTGAACCTCTCATACTTAATGAATAGCATTGAAGTAAGACTTGAATCTCTCTGACTTATTGAAGACTTGAACCTCCAGACTTACTGAATGGCACTGAATCAAGACTTGAACCTCTCAGACTTACTGAATAGCACTGAAGTAAGACTTGAACCTCTCAGACCTACTACACAGCATTGAAGTAAAACTTGAACCTCTGTTACTTACTGAATAGCACTGAAGTAAGATTTGAACCTCTCAGACCCACTACATAGCATTGAAGTAAGACTTGAACCTCTCTTACTTACTGAATAGCACTGAAGTAAGATTTGAACCTCTCAGACCTACTACATAGCATTGAAGTAAGACTTGAACCTCTCTTACTTACTGAATAACACTGACGTAAGACTTGAACCTCTCAGACTTTCTGAATGCACTGAAGTAAGACTTGAATCTCTCTAACTTATTGAAGACTTGAACCTCCAGACTTACTGAATAGCACTGAAGTAAGACTTGAACCTCTCAGACCTACTACATAACACTGAAGTAAGATTTGAACCTCTCTGACCTACTACATAGCATTGAAGTAAGACTTGAACCTCTCTTAATTACTGAATAGCATTGAAGTAAGACTTGAACCTCTCAGACTTGAACCTCTCTTAATTACTGAATAGCATTGAAGTAAGATTTGAACCTCTCAGACCTTCTACATAGCATTGAAGTAAGACTTGAACCTCTCTTACTTACTGAATAGCCCTGATGTAAGACTTGAACCTCTCACAAATACTGAATAGCATTGAAGTAAGACTTGAACCTCTCATACTTAATGAATAGCACTGAAGTAAGATTTGAACCTCTCTTACTTACTGAATAGTATTGAAGTAAGACTTGAACCTCTCAGACCAACTACATAGCATTGAAGTAAGACTTGAACCTCTCTTACTTACTGAATAGTATTGAAGTAAGACTTGAACCTCTCAGACTCGTGACCTTGAACCTCTCTGTGTTGAACAGCTTTGTCATCCAAGTAGGTGTCCAGTTCTACTGTTTTGTATGCAGCAGTTCCATACTCATCCTGAAACATGAAACAAACAATGTACATATAATTAATCAATTACCCCCCCCCCCCCCCAATTAGAATTCTTTAGCAAACACTCTATAACATGAATTGCAATTATCACTGAAAAATTTATTTATGTCTAACCCTTTATAATGTCTAAACTGATGAATTTAGGACTTAAAGTCTTGCCATAATTATCACAGAATTACACATCAAAACACATACATAATCATTTGTTTTTACAATATTAATCAAAACAGTACACAATTAATAAAATCTACTGAATTAACTCAGCAGAAGATTAGCCCCATAGTATTGATTTTCTGATATCTGTATATTATGACCTGTCTATCAAATGGGCATTAATGCATTTTCCAGTGTCAAACATTATCAGAAAAAAATGCCTCTCCAGTATGTTTAACTGTTTACTAATCAAAATTCCTGCTCAAGGCCTACTGAAGCAGAAAGTACATTGCTCATTTTTCTTTGGAATTATTTCAGGACAGGTAACCTTGACCTTTTAACATATCCTAGCTGTAACAGAATTCTAATAGTCTTCATCCACCAGACAGGGGATTCTCATGAAATTAGAAATTCTTTAAGATAATCAAAATTTAAACTTATTAAGTTGTTAGTTTTAAGACAGTATAATTCTGATGATATCAATCCGTCACTATGCTGGAGAGATTTGGCAAGCATACATTATGTTTCCGTATATCATATTGTCTGCATATCTTGACAAAAGGCACCAAGTTCACATCAAAAAGCAAAGGGTAATAAGAGTAAATAACACATAACATGTGTGCATAATGAATTAATATACTGCAAAACATCTGTCAAGTCTGAAGAAACAATTTATTTACTTCAGAAAAGTAAAGGAGATCCTACTGAATTAATATTTTAACTGCATATTTTCTAACGAGAAAAATATATCAATGACATGCAATCATCTAATTTAATAAAATATTTTACAGGTAACTTACTGCAAACTGACAGGTGTAAAAATAATACTGGTAGATCTTATATAAGCAAACATAAAATGTTACCAAATGCTTGGTATATCACAAGTGACCCAAAGGTCACTTTGAACAATTCAAAGGATTCTTGCTTATGAACATGATTAAGGGAATAAATGGTCTTGAATTAAATAAAACAAGATTCTTAATTATATACATGAACTGTATATCAAACTTTCTATCCTGTACAAGTTATGAACTGACAAACTAATGTGTCTCTTGGTCAGAAAATTATCCCAGCTTTTTCTACTTCTATTACTTCTAAAAGTATGATTTTAAAAATTATTTCTAAATTTACTTCTAAAGGAGGAAATTAATATCTTTTATATTAGATATTTCAAGATGAGGGACCTTAGAAGAATTATTCATGGAAAACAGGATATGATATGGGGACAGTTAATTGGTATAACACACAGCTAGTTGTTAAACTGAGAATCACCTACTATAGGTATTACAGAGTTTAAGGATTATATTTATTACAAGAGGCCCACGGGCCTTATAGGTCACCTGAGTATCATGTAACAACTTTCCAGCGATCATATTTGGTTTGTGTTTTAATCCAAAAGCCATGAAATTCACAAATTTTGAAAGAGGCACCATTGCTTATCAAGGGGCAGATTTCAAAGCATTAATTTATTTTTAGTCAAAGTACCCCCATGGTACCCCTGACCCAGTGGCCCTGAATTTATCTATTTTGAAAGAGGCCCCTCTCTTCATTATAAGGCCAGCATTTTTTTTTTTATGTTTAGGTTTAGTTATGAATATGAGAATAAAAAACTCCCGAAGGAAAAGGAAATAAAAAAAAAAAAATTTTGATAAATCAATTGTACATTCTTTTTTTATGCTATTCTAATAGGCTCCTTACCACTGGACACATAATGCTTACAAATAGGAAAGTAGAACATTTAATTGCTTATTTCATCATCTGCCAGTTTGGGCCAGTTATATAAATTTTGTGATGTTGGTCAAAATATATTTTAAAAAATCAATTCTTTAAAGTCTTTTTTTAATATGTGTTAGGTGAATGTGTAGACATTGTTCTAAAATTACTTGATGCCTAAAATTATAATTCCTATCATTAAACTGGGAAATTTGAACATATTCAATTTAAATTGATACAAATGATATACTGTATATATTTTGAATTCAAATGGGTAAACTTTTGAGGTGAATTAAATTTGCTTTTCTTAGAATACTTTTTAGTTTTCCTATCTAACTTTTAAAATCATCTTTCAAGAAGATATAACCAAATTCTCGTATCATTTTGTGTAATTATTCATGAGTTATTGAAGATCAATAAAATATGAAAACTTCAAATGTCCATCTCGTGCATTTGAATTATAATTATAATTATAATTCCTATCATTAAACAGATAGGGAGTATTGGGAAATACGGTGAACATTTTTTCAATTCAGTGTAAATTTCTCTGGCTGATACAAATGATACTACATGCCTGTATATATTTGTGAATTCTTGCCTTTAATAAGGCAATAGTTGAATTTTTTTTTTATTTCTTCAGGTTATTGTTCATTTCTTCTTTTTGACCTCAAATGAACTTAACTTCTGACCAATTTTCGTAATTTTCGGTCATGTGGTCAAATTTTTATCGACCTACCCTGCGTTTCTTTTTCCTTTCAGTATAGTTTTATTCATTACATCTGGTGCATAAGCAACCCTTATCTGAAGAATGATGCTTAGACTGTAAGCTATAACAGAGACCTAAACAATGTCGCTGGCAATATGCAATAGCTACCACAGGCAGTTTAAAACCTGGGGGAGGAAAATAATTTACAGACAGAAACTTTTGAAACGAATACATAATTATCTCACCAGCATGTCATTGTGCAACAAAGTCGTCAGCATTTTATTTGTCCTTTGAACGGGTGAAATGTTTTGAATGGCACTCCTATCGATGAATTTTACACTAAACCAATCTATCTTCTCAGATGTAGCTTTATTTACCCGCCGTTTCATCTTAAAACCGGAAGTGCGAGTTCGTGAATTTGAAATCTCGATCCCGACTCATATTTGACATCGGAAAGAAAAAAATTGTTTTATTTTTTTCTGAAAATTCAAAACCTTGAGCGGAGGCTTTGTACAACTGAAAATAAAATAAATACTGGCCTTAAATATGTAATCAGATCATTAGCATATTAACCAGGAGCAAAGGATAAGATGTTCAAAGAATTCATGCAATTCACTATATAATCATTGGAGCCCCACCCTAAAACAAGAACCCCTGACCCTGGGGCCCTAAAATTCACAATTTTGGTAGAGGCACTCTTGCTCATCATAACTATGTACTTAGTTAGTTCATTTAATACCCAGGAGCAGAGAAGAAGATTTTCAAAGAAATAATGTATTTTCACTATATAATTAATAGAACCCCGCCCTAACACCAGAACCCCTGACCCTGGGGCCATAAAATTCACAATTTTGGTAGAGGCACTCTTGCTCATCATAACTATGTACTTTGTTGGTTTATTTAATACCCAGGAGCAGAGAAGAAGATTTTCAAAGAAATAATGCATTTTCACTACCTACTTATTTAGCCCCGCCCTAGCACTAGAACCCCTGACCCCAGGGCCATGAATTTCACAATTTTGGTAGAGGACTCATTGCTGATTACAATCATGCAAACAGTTTGATTGCTTGATGTCCAGGAGTAAAGAAGAAAATTTTTAAAGATTGCATTAATTTTAGTGGTTTTGGCCCCACCCCTCAGGCCCCAGGGGGGCAGGGATCATGAAATTCACAATTTTTGTTCCCCTTTACCCATAGATGCTTTGTGCCAAATTTGGTTGAAATTGGTTCAGTGGTTGCAGAGAAGAAGCTGAAAATGTTCAAATGTTAACGCACGACGAACGACGATGGACGAAAACGGATAGCAATAGGTCACCTGAGTTTACTCAGGTGACCTAAAAATGCTAATAGGATCCCCCTACAATGGACAGTTTACGTCTCCAAGTTTGTCCGTACCTGTGAGCTGTTCTTGCCGATCCAGAAGTGGAGGTCGTACTTCAGATCTTCTGAATCTCCAGTCTTGTAGGTCTACAAAATAAAATAACAGATAAACAGTAAAAGACAGCGTAAAGCGGAGTATCCCTTCACAGAAAAGTACAGAGATTCCAATCTAAAACATCGTTAGTGTAACTTCCATTAAGTACACATACACTCACTCACTGCCCCACACAGATGGAAGGGCATTACTATAATTCCCCTCCAATTTGTGTCAAAGGAATAAAAAAGTATGAATTAAATATACCCTAGCTCTTCCTCAAGTGTGCAGAACTTGTTATTAATCTGTCTTAAATAGAATTGAAGTTGTCTTGGATCTATAAATGTCTTTCATCATATTTTATATGCTTATACATGTATATAGTAGTCATGACAATGTGCCAGCTTTCAAAACATTTTGGCTTAGAATTGCTGTTTCATGTTGTCACCTTAAACATGTGTTCAAAGTCTATGATGCAAGCAACTTAATTGTTGATCTATATAAATTCATACAGATTGAAATACTGTAGAATTACTTTTTTCTGTGTGGTATTTATTTACACGATGTATGCGGTCACAAATTTTCCGCAGAAATTTGTTCAAGCGTACTTAATATAAATGCAAGGCATATATAGTGACAGTCTAAGAAATCTGCGTAATTTTCAATCTGCGGATTTAACAGAAATTGAAATTCTACAGACTATGACCCCTTGGAGAAAAAAGTACGTCTACAGTACTTACATAAAGGACAATGTAAGAATCTCCATTGTAGAATTTTCCATAGTCTTCTTTAGGCCAATCTGTGACTTCAAATTTCTAAAAGATAAAAATTCAAGTTATCAATTGACAAGTATTCTTTATTTTGGTAAGTTCTACTATCAATCATATTACAATCCTATGTTGCTAACAATGGAAGTTAGAATAAGATAAAAATTTTATACTTTTTCAAAACCCTGACTATGACTAACATATTATCTCGATAAGGCTCCACTAGTTTTTGTCTTATTCAAACAAGAATGAAACTTCATGATTTAGAAATAAAGTATTGTGGTGTCTACTCCTATAAAGCATTTCCTGACTTGGACCTTTGGACTCCTAACTCAACAGAACAACTTCTCTATAGTCCACTCATTGCAATGATTGGTAAATTGTAGTGTATATACGTACCACGATGCGCCAGATCTTAAGTCCGGGCTCAGTTCCTGCCCCCTCCCATGCTGGCTCCGTCATAGCAGATTCCTCTACAGACAAGGAAAAAATATAACCAAATAATAACACCTCCCCGATCAATATTACACCATGTATACATGATAAAATGATTTTCTTATGACTTTTCTTTCACTTCAAACATCATTTTTAGGTAAAGGTACATAACAACTTTGTTCTCATAAACTTCCTGAGCTTTATAAACTTGAAATTTCATCACAAACACAAGAAAAAGACTAAGAAAAAAGCTTGTTTCATTAACGACAATGCATGACTTGCTCACTGAATACTTACTTTTGACCTGTCTGTCAGTGTCTGACCCAAACAGGGCCATGTTGGAGTCCTTCCAGTCATATTTCTTAGCTTTTACTAGTCCTACAAGTAATCTAAACTTGTTGACAAGCAATTTCATAAATCTAGCACAATACAATAAAATACTTATAAATAAAAACATATCCCAAAAAGAAGTAAAAGATCTTATCTTGCACTCTAATTTGCTATTTCTATGCTTTTCAAAAGTAAAACTTCATTTCTAGGTAAATCAGTTCATTCAACCAGCTCAAACTTGCAGGTATCTACAGGTGATCTAAAAAATTAAAATATCCTCCCCCTCCCCCTACTCTTAAAAGTGCTAGTTCAAAATTTGTAAAAGTGACCTTAAAATTGAGTAATCTTTTAATGAAATATGGACAAATAATCTTTCCATGCTAGAAAATCATAAACCTTGCTCTTATAAATTTTACACTTTTTAAACAAGTGACCTTGAACTTGAAGTCAAGGTTATAACCCAATCTTGCTACCAAGTGATTTATTATTTCAAAGTTTTAGACAAAAATTTTACTTTTTTCTGCCAGTAGCCTTGAACTTGCAAAGTGACCTGAGTCAAGTCCAGACAAACACATGGATAAGCTATCTCTGCATGTACTAAAAATAAACTTCCATTGATTCTCTATTACAAAGTTATAGCCTAGAAAAGATTCGATGTACAGAGGACAGCTAAACAGATGAACAGACAATGTTATTCCTGTATCCTCCCAAACTTTGTTGTGGGAGGTATAATTAAGGCTTACAGGTATCTGGGTATGGATTGAACTATGAATGTGTTCTGCAAAATATATACACGACATTGACCTGTATGATAATAAATCCCACCACAATTCAGACAGTCTGACAAGAACTGACCCCCCACTTCTCCGTTTTGTTTTGAACATATTTTACTGATAATATGTCAAAGGGATTGGACACAAGTTCCAAAAACTTAGATATTCCTCTCCCACTTATCTGTCATGGTAGATGGAATATAAAATAAAATTACCATTAGGAAGATTGTTGTAATAATTAATGCATTCATGACTATTATCTATATAACAGTCAAATTCTCTACAGCTTTATATAAAGAATACTTGTTATGAAGATAAGATCTTACAGACGTATTATCATGATCATTTGTGTAAATTATACACATTCTACATATTCTATGTGTGCTTAAAAATAAAGACTTTAATATATTACGCTGCTTTTTGCATGGACAGGTGCTTTATGATTCATGAATACCATTAATACCCAGTTGCGCAGCTTCTTAATTTCATGCAGTCATATGTGCGACAGTACGCCTTTTCGCAAATATTGTGATTTTAGTATAAAATTAACATTATCTGAAATGCCTACTGGTCTCAAAATATGATTTTACGACAATAATTAGGAAAGTGCTGCAAATGGCTTTGACACGACGTCACTGTTCTCAGTGCTGTAATTAAGCAATTAATGCATGACCACATAACTTGCTTGAGTATTCAAGACGTCTATGGATATTATACTAAAAACTGATGACAGAACATCAAAAGAAACATACTAGCAATTTAATATTGCTATTTTTTTTTTACAAAAAAATTCATCTGCACTGATATGTATTTATACCGTAATATAGCCATTTTAGAGGTATTGGGTATCAAAAAAATAAAGGTTGTAATTAATCCCTAGAGCAACCTAGATAGTCAATTTTTCTGAAATTTCATAATATGGCGAGTTTTCACATTAACTTTCATCTTCTTCACTGAAAAGGAAATCTCTAGGGCAGAAATACAAAAAATGTCGAAAAAATGTGATAATTTGGCCCTTTTCCAACAAATTCCCATAGGGTCCAATAGTAAAATTTAACAACTTTTGAGATGCCCCCTTAAGAAACCGTGATGGGAAACATTCGATTTTTTTATCTTATCAAAACAAAAAAATATTGCAGTAAAAATTAAAAAACGAAAAATTATCAAAATCCCTAGGGCAGATTTTAATAATTAGACTTGGCCTCGTTAATTTGAATATACTTCAATTTATCTACAAATTCAGTATATTGTAACAAAGTCTTACCTGCCATTTTGCTTGAGATAATTTAACTTCGAACAGTGAAACCCACGTAACCTAAAAATCCAATAATCTGAAAAAAAAGAATGAAATTTGAAACACTGGTAATGAAGCACTAACTCTGCCTACATGAAATATTTTCCTGTAGCTGAGGAAGAATTTATAAAACAGGGTTGCATTAGTGGGCTTCTAAGAGAAACGCATTTATATATTTGTGTTTGAATCGGTGAGCACAGTTTAAGGTGGCAATCAGCCCATCACAAGAAAACACACGTCTGCTGCATCAGCAGCTTTTGGTGACTCAAACATACATGCATATTGCACCATGCAACATTCCTAATGGTGTCAATGGCCATTATATATTACAGAAGTTAAAACTGTCTCCCAAATCTCACATCATTTTCACCATTTGACATATAATCTAAGAACAAATGTAGGTATTATTGATCAGATTTGATCTTATAGATTCTGCCTGGGGATAACCTTGAAGTCAAATCAGAAATGTAGGACTCTAGTCCTTTTCAAAGACTAATATGTTATGTGTTTACATATCTATATGTTTGATTAAAAGGAACTTTCAGTTGCCTAGTTATTATACCAATTACAATACTGATGGATAGATCTATACATTTAGCCTTGGTCTTAACCCTGCAATGGGCCATAAACAGCCATAAGAACCAATGATTGATTGAAATTTGACTCCTCCAACATATTGTCACAACAGACTCCTCCCAAATTACATACAAAGTCAGAATGATTCATGAAGATGAAATACCTCCAATTCAATCACGTTAAATACAGTGATCTTGCTCATCACTAAAATATTCATAATGTGATGCAAGTTTAAAAACTCAACAACAACAACAAGAGGCCCAGGGGCCACATCACTCACCTGGGCAATTGCTCACCTGAGCAACTGTCTAAAAAAAAGTAACAAGAGGCCCATGGGCCACATCGCTCACCTGAGAAGCTTTGACCATTCTATTCTTTACCAGATTTCCCCCTAGTTATACATGATGCATCCCCACCCTACCCCACTGATCATAATTTAGACATTTTGAAATCTACACTACCCCATGATCCTTCCATGGGCACATATGTTTCAGCTTTTTTGGCCCAGTGGTTCTTGAGAAGAAGATTTTCAAAGATTTTTCCTATATACTTCTATATAAAACTTTGATTCCCCATTGTGGCCCCGCCCTTCCCCCGGGGGTCATGATGTATAACAATTTAGAATCTACACTATACCAGGATGCTTCCACATAAGTTTCAGCTTTTCTGGCCCAGTGGTTCTTGAGAAGAAGATTTTCAAAGATTTTTCCTATATATTTCTATATAAAACTTTGATTCCCCATTGTGGCCCCGCCCTTCCCCCGGGGGTCATGATTTGAACAATTTAGTATATACACTATACCAGGGTGCTTCCAAATAAGTTTCAGCTTTTCTGGCCCAGTGGTTCTTGAGAAGATTTTCAAAGATTTTTCCTATATATTTCTATATAAAACTTTGATTCCCCATTGTGGCCCCGCCCTTCCCCTGGTTGTCATTATTTGAACAATTCAGAATCTACATTATACCAGGATGCTTCCATATAAGTTTCAGCTTTTCTGGCCCAGTGGTTCTTGAGAAGAAGATTTTCAAAGATTTTTCCTATATATTTCTATATAAAACAGGGCATTCCCCATTGTGGCACTCGCCCTTCCCCCAGGGGGGACATGATTTGAACAATTTAGAATCTACATTATATCAGGATGCTTCCACATAAGGTTCAGCTTTTCTGGCCCAGTGGTTATTGAGAAGAAGATTTTCAAAGATTTTTCCTATATCTTTCTATGTAAAACTTTGATACCCCATTGTGGCCCCGCCCTTCCCCCGGGGGTCATGATGTGAACAATTTAGAATCTACATTATACCAGGATGCTTCCACATAAGTTTCAGCTTTACTGGCCCAGTGGTTCTTGAGAAGAAGATTTTCAAAGATTTTTCCTATATATTTCTATATGAAACTTTTGATTCCCCATTGTGGCCCCGCCCTTCCCCCGGGGGTCATGATGTGAACAATTTAAAAAAGAATCTACACTATACCAGGATGCTTCCACATAAGTTTCAGCTTTTCTGGCCCAGTGGTTCTTCAAAGAAGAAGATTTTCAAAGATTTTTCCTATATATTTCTATATAAAACTTTGATTCCCCATTGTGGCCCCGCCCTTCCCCCGGGGGTCATGATTTGAACAATTTAGAATCTACACTACCCCAGGATGCTTCCACATAAGTTTCAGCTTTACTGGCCCAGTGGTTCTTGAGAAGAAGATTTTTTAATGACCCAACCCTATTTTTGTCTTTTCTTGATTATCTCCCCTTGCGAGGGGATATGTCCCTTCATTTTAACAATTTAAATTCCCCTTCACCCAAGGATGCTTTGTACTAAGTTTGGTCAAAATTGGCCCAGTGGTTCTTGAGAAGAAGTCGAAAATGTGAAAAGTTTACAGACGGACAGACAGACGGACGGACAGACAGACAGACGGACGGACGACGGACAAAATGTGATCAGAAAAGCTCACTTGAGCCTTCGGCTCAGGTGAGCTAAAAACCAATCATGGCTTTGCTTCTTGAGAAGAAGAATTTTAAAGATATTCCCAATGTATTTCTATGTTAAACTTTGATACCCCATTATGGCCCCACCCTACCCCCAGGGGTCATGATTTGAACAAATTTGAATCTTCGCTACCTGAGGATGGTTCCACATGAGTTTCATCTTTCCTGGCCCACTGGTTCTGGAGAAGAAGATTTTTAAAGATTTTTCCTATGTATTCCTATGTTAAACTTTGATACCCCATTGTTGCCCCACCCTACCCCCAGGGGTCATGATTTGAACAAACTTGAATCTAAACTACCTGAGAATGCTTCCACATGAGTTTCATTTTTCCTGGCCCAATGGTTCAAGAGAAGAAGATTTTTAAACTATGCCATTAATTTTTCATTAATTCATAATTATCTCCCCTTGGAAGAGGGCTTGGCTTTTCATTTGAACAAACTTGAATCCCCTTTACCCAAGGATACTTTGTGGCAAGTTTGGTTGAAATTGACCCAGTGGTTCTTGAGAAGAAGATGAAAATGTGAAAAGTTAATGACAACGATGACAACAATGACTACAATGACAGACAATGGACAAATTTTGATCAGAAAAGCTCACTTGAGCCTTTGGCTCAGGTGAGCTAAAAACTAGAGGTACTGTGAGCAATGAGCTCACTAAATGATACCCCCTGTCTCCCATATGAATATAATGGCAGCGTTCATGTTTTGCTATGGGAAACCCAAAATATGTGTCAGATCAAACATTAAAATAGGAGGTGCACAATGGCAATACGTAATAAAGATTCTGTGAAAGTTTCATCCAATTCATTCAGTGAGATGAGAGGAGTTGCGGATAAGAGATGGGTACCCCAAAGCGTAACAAACGGACAGACAGACGGACATACCGATTACTATATACTATCCCGCTTTTCAAGCGGGGGGTATAAAAAGATTATCAAGATGTTCCATGGTAAAAGAATAATTTCAATATTCAAATGTAAGCAGTAATTAAGTAAATTCCTAATCCGATTACAAAAATTCATAGTCAGAAACAGTTAAACCCAGTGTTATTTTAGCTACTCAATGTGTCTCCATCCAAATTGTATGAAATGAAGCAGTCGCCTTGCATCCCGACTTCTGAAACATATATATCTCATATAAAAAGAAATTATAAAAAGTTATTTCGAGTATAAATTCCCATAAACTTTGCCACATCTAAAAGCTATATAGCATCAAACAATTATTATGCAATTGTACATCTTTGTCATTATTGACAATATTATCAAACAATTGTCACTTACATGATATGTTAACATAATGGGTATCCTATATCCTATACAGTTGTCTGGCACCTACACTCTTTATTATTCCCACCGCTTGAAGAGCTGGAGGGTATATAGTAATTGGTATGTCTGTCCATCTGTCTGTCCGTCTGTTATGCTCTGGGGTACAGCAGACATCTCTTATCCGCAATTCCTCCCATACCACTGAATGAAATTTAATGAAACTTTCACAGAATCTTTATTACATAATGTCATTGTGTACCTCCTATTTTACTTTTTGATCTGACACATATTTTGGGTTTCTCATATAAAAACATGCCATTATATTTGTACGGGAGGTGGGGGTATCATTTAGTGAGCTCATTGCTCACAGTACCTCTAGTTTTTCATGTGATGCCCATGGTTTAGTTAAAGATATTGTACAAGCAGATGCCTCCTGCTGCAATACTTTTAGGAAGGAAAGGAGGGTAGGGGAACTCATGTGATATTCATGAAAGAATGAAATACAATGCAATTTTTCTTTTTTCAAACTCTTTCTTGTCCATATATAGAATAAATAATTATAAGTAGATGGCTTTAGTTAGAGTCATCGTCACTAATTCATTAAGATCTAGAAAAATAAAATTCACTGAATGCATGCAAACATACTGCAGAATAAATAATTTTACAACTATACAACAAGAGGAAAAAGTAGATATATTATATAGATTTGCCAAACAGACAACAAAGAGATTTGCCCACAGCACGGACGGCAGCTGTTAGGGATGATTCAGAGCCGATAAATGTGGAGGGCTCGATCAAGCTTACTTCAAAGTCTGATAACAAAAAACTCGACTCTGCACTTTTTACTGAAACACTGATTTAATTACTAAAGCATCCAAATTATTTAAACTCAAGTTAATTAACCCTGAGTACATATTGTATATATTGTATGTCTTACATTTGGCCATTTCAGGAATATGAGATATATTGAATTAACATTTTGCTTAATAGAACAACTGTCTTTTAATAGAACAACTGTCTTGGAATGTTTGAAATGTTTTCAAAAGGCTCAGCTTCTGGCTGGAAATATTACTGGTCAAGTTAAATATGAATCTCAAATAAAAGTAGCATTGTGTGATGAAGGAACTGAGCTTGCACTATCTCACTATTACAAACAGAGCAGTGAGCTCACTAAATGATAACCCCCCCCCCCCACCTCCCATATAGTTATAATG